CACCATCCCGCCCCCATGGCACCCACCCCCTTCCTCCCACTGCACTGCCCTCCCCCCAGCCTCCAAGGGGTGCTGTGGCGAATCAGGGGCTGCCGTGCCAGGGCATCTTGGCATTCCTAGCTCTAACTCGGCCTGCTAAATATACATCTAGGCGAGTCCGGGAAGGAAACACCACAGACCAGTTAACTCTTTCACCTCCAGCAGCCACCAGAGGGCAGCCAAGGGGGGGGGAGGTGCCCAAGGAGCCTCTGCCCAGTCTGAGCTGGAGGGCAGGTGGAGCAGCCCCTCACAGCAGGCCAGGGGGATGGGGTCTTGGGGTCAGGACTCTGGGGCGGTGGGGCGGGGGGAACCTGTGGGTAGGAGACCAGCTGTGCCCTCATGCCCCTGGCCCCCAGCAACACTCCTGCCCAGTAGCGGCTCCCTTGCTCAAATCTCATGGTGGCCTGGGCCTAAGTCAGGCTCCAACCCACTCAGCTCTCCTTTTACAGAGAAGGTGAGGGAGTGCCAGTCAGGCGGCCTACCTTCTTCCGGGTAGGAGGTGGGGGGTCCCCTTTCCTGGCTACTTGGACAGAGGTGTGGAGGCCCGGGAGGAGCCTCCAACAGGAGGCGGTGGGAGTCTCATGGCTGGCTGGCCCTGGATCAGCCTCCACCTTCCCTTCTTCCCTAAACGGTGGGCGAGAGCCCCAGCATGGCAGCCCCAGCCTAGGCCCGCTACCCATGCTCCCAGAGGCCCCCCAGGCCGTCCTAGCGAGGAATCGGGGACTGCAGGCCGGTGAGGTCAGTAGGGCTGGCAGGGGTGGGGCGGGCAAAAGACTCTCCCTCTTGCTTTGTGACCAGAAGGAGGAACTCAGCGGGCTCCAGGGAAGGTTCCAGGCAGGGATGGAACAACCCTGGGTCCCACCTCTGCTTATGACTCACTGCGGGGTTTGGCAGTTTCCCTCTGTCCACACCTCCCCGGCCCCTTTCCCTCCATCCTTGTCATGTGGGGCCGCTGCCAAGGCTCAAACTCCCTTGGATGCCCAAGTGGCTGCCATGGCCAGGACCCTCTGGTCAGGGGGTGGGGCCAGTGGAGCTGGACTAGGGTGGGGTGAGCGGGGACCCCAGAGGCACTGATCGCGGGGCAAGCTCCCCACCGTGGGGAAGGCAGTTCCCCTGACTGGGAGGCCAGTGGGGGAGGGGCTGGCTGGACCCTGCCATGGGTGGAGGGAGGAGGCCAATGAAAGGGCCCTTTACACAGTGCCGCGCACAGGAAACCATTCCAACCACCAGAATGATCTGGGAAAACTGCAGTGACTGGTGGGCCCTCTGGGCTCACCAACCCCAACGTGGCAGCTGGCCTGGCTTCAGGGTGGAGGAGAATGACAGGGAGAACGGCTGATCCCACCCACCCAGCCACTCCCCAGGCTGGCTGGGGGCCCCAGGGCAGGCACAGTTTCTTTGCAGTATCTTGGATCTTTCTACAAATCTGGCTTAAAGCCCTGCCGGTCGGTTTCTGTGCTGCCAGTCCTGCAGCGCCCCCTGCTGTCTGAGCCCATAGCGACAGGCAAAAGGAGGGGGTGGGCCCCAAGACCCTCTGGGGAGCTCAAGCTTCACGGTTGACAAAGGAAGTGGGCGTGGGGAAGGCCAAGAGCCCCAAGACTCCCGTGTCAAAGACCGTCCCATTGTCCCTGTCACCACATCTATCATCTGGCTGACCAAAGGGCTCAATGTTTAATTCAGTAAGTCCTGCTCAGGGTGGGCGGGGGATGGACCCCTCCCCAGCGTGGTTGCTGAAAACAGCAGGTCCTCCTAGAAGCCTTTCTTCTTGTCCCCATCTTGCCCGCTCCCACTCCCCACCCCAGCAGGACGGGGACAGCCATGGGCCCCTTTTACCCAACCCGTGTGTCCCTTTTTGTGGACAAAAAGAAAAAGGGGAAAGAGCGGTGGAGCCCCTCAAGGGGAAAGCTGGACCGAGCTAAAAGTAAACGAGCAGAGGCGGCACCAGGGCCGGGTGGGGGGTGGGGGGTGGGAGGCGGTGAGCATGCCCTGGAAGCCCCGAGGGCTGACCCCCACGTGGGAGAACGCAGGACGTGGCTGCAGCAAGCAGGGAAGCGCGGGCAATGCTGGAAAGCCCGGCAAGCCTCTGAGCCCCGACTGGAGACGCTCTGGGGACGGTGGACTTGACAGAGGGGCCCCGGGAAGCCTGACCAACAGCACATTTGCTCTCCTGCCTGAGCACAAGGGAAAAGGGGGGCCAGCATCCCAATCAGGAGTCGGAACATAAGGAAAACTTTTCTGAACTAAAAAATATGCTCAGTGTGGAACTGAGACCATCTGTAGTAGACTCTGCAGATGGGTTGGCCAAGGAGAGAAGGGTGAGCCACGCCACCACAGTCTTGTCCTCCTTCCCGAAGCCGTTGAGAGTTAATAATAAAAATGCATGAAGGCAGCTGCAGGAGCAGTTTTAAATAATACTTTGCATGTCAGTGATCTGCTTATCAAAGCGATGAGCTCTTCATTTTGTTAAAGGTTACAAAGACTTTTAAAATGAACTGTTGCTCCACGGAACACTACATCAAAAACTAATGATGTAATAATGTATGGTGATTAACATAACATAATAATAATAAAAAAAAAGGAACTGTTGCTCAATCCATCTTATTGGGAAACTATGATCGTGGTTTCCAAATCTAGTAAGTCCAGGACCAAAAAGTTGTGACACAAAGCATCCCCGAAGCTGCCCTTCCCCCATTCTGCTGCCCCTGAGAGCACCTAAGAGGCACTCGGAGGAGCAGGATCCAGAGCAGGAACTGGCAGACTCGCTCCTCACCAGCGGAAGGCCATGTGCTCAGCATGTCACCTCTCTGGGCTCCCATGTCCCCGGTCTGTAAAATGGTGACTATACTCAGGACACAGGGTTGTTTGGAAAAACTGATGTCGCCCCAGCCTGTGGGTCCGCGTGAGGTCACATTCATATTAACACCCCGGTTCTGGTGGCTCCACACCCCTACCTGTGCAAAGCCCTACCTGCCTCCACAGAGCCTCCCCACCTGTTTCTGGAAGTTCCTGGTTTCGCCAGTGCTCAGGAACTGGTGAGTGAATGGGTCTTCTCGAGGACAGCCCACTGGCCAGGTGGGCCATTGTCGTGCCTTCCACGACAATGCTCTTTTCTGATACTGGAGGGCTCGCAGAGGTTTCTTAGAGTGGGAAGAAGGTCGCTCCTCCATGGTGTTCCATTTGGTTCTGCATCAGAAAGGCAACTTTCTTCCCAGTGCCTCCCTCTGTAGGGCAGACTTGGCCCCTCCAGTGGGCTGGGAAGCACTGTCCCAACCTATAGGGCCTGCTCTTCCCCGGAATACCTGCCCTTGCATGCACTCCTCCTTAAGCAAGGAAGGAAGCCCTGGCGCATCCACTCCTGCCCACAGGTGCATTCGTGTGCACATGGGGGGACGCTCTACGCCTCCAGCGCACTCAGGGTCAGCCTGGACCCTGCACCACCAGCAGTGGTGGTGCCTGGGGGTCCCCCTTCCTCTCTCTGAACCTGGGACCACATGTGTCCCAGAATTCAGAGCTTTTCATAACAGAGAAGGGTCACACGTGGCCTGTCCCATGCACTCGATCTCAGTTCCAGCATCCACACCCACAGAGAGTCGGCAGGGAACCACCGTGTCCACACTCCCTTGTCCTGCCTCAGGTCAGGTCAGGTTTTGCCACTAAATGTGACCGTGGCAAACTTGGGACAAATGTTTTGGTTTTCAGAGCTCTTTAGAATTATGGATAAAGTTTAGAATTACGGATAAAGGATGGAGGGCCTGCCTTTTCCCCTTTTGGGTATGGCTGAAAGTCTCCTCCTGGACACCCTGGTTCTGGGGAGAAGAGGAAAGCCGAGCATTTATTTTGCACTGACGGTGTGCCCCGTGCATTTCTGGCTCTTTCTGGTAGGCCATCCCACTAAGGGGTTGGGTGCTGGTGGGCCCCGGCCTGGACCTCCCATTCAGGGGGTAAGGTCAGCTCAGCCTGACTGACTGGGAAGCAGAAAGCAGCGGCTAATGTGTTTACCCAAAGCCCAGAGCAGGTGGGAGGTCCATCTGCTAATCTCTCCCAGCTGCCTCTCTGGGCTGGCACCCTGACGGAGAGAGGGGCCCAGGAGAGGCTGGGAGGGGCCGGGCAGAGCCCTGGGGACCTGATCTGCTGGGCCTTCCTCCCTGTGGTGGAGAAAGAGGCCCTCCCCCAAGTGGAGTGGGCTGAGTCCTCCCTTCCCATCCCCCCCACTCTGGGGCTGAGAGGCACTTCCTGTCTCCTCAGCAGCAACAATGAAAACCCTAGGGCTATTCTGGGTCCCTGAACCTGTTCTGGCCTCAGGGCAGGGAGTTAACTGGAATGGAAGCAGGATGCTTGAGACTCAAGAGGTGGTGTCTCCTCGGGGCTGGGACACCTAATCTGCTTTAAGATCACCCCTTTTCCCAAGAAGCCCCCCTCCCCTTACTCATGGCTTCCCCCAGCCTTGAATATACCTGGGATCCTACCAATGGCTTCCTTTCATCCTGGACTTGCCACTGGAAGCCAGAGAAGTGATGACTCAGGAAGTGAGAGGTAGGTTCTGGGGGAGTGGGGGCGGGATGGTGGCTGAAATTAATTACTATCCCTCGGTCCATCCATCCATCCATCCATCCATTCATCCATCCACCCATCCATCTTGCCTTTCATTCATTCATCCAACCCACGTTAAGCCAGCCTTCATAATGTGCCAGGTGAAATGTCCCCCACAGAGGAATGCCCAGAGCAGCTGACTTTATTAGCCTGTGCCTGGCAGAGCCCTCTCCTTAGGCCAGGAAGTGGGAACCGCTGGTGAAGCTAATGTGAGAGTTGGATAAATTGGACGCCCCCGCACCTGGGGAGCCGCCCCCACAGGAAGGAGCCTTCCCCGCCCCACCCTCAGATGGTGAAGTAGGCTGTTGATAAAGTTTTGTGGGCATACCACAAAGGCAGCAGTAAATTTGGCCCCGAGCCGCCCCCAGGCACCCTGGCTGGGCCCTGCCTCTACCGTTCTGCCCCTTTGGGAAGTCCTGGAGGCTTTAGTGCAGGGTCCACCACCGTGCCCTCTGGCCGTGACCCCAGCGTGCAGGGCAGGTGGGCATCGTGGACGACCTCTCGGATGGTGGCCCGGAAAGTCTTGCTGACAAAGCAGTAGAGGCCAAAGTTGACTGCCGTGTTGAGCATGGCGGCCATGTTGGCCACGTCCAAGGCCAGGTGGACCCTCCAGTCGCGGTGGACAGGGGCCACATACAGGTGGTAGAGCATGACAAAGATCCGGGGTGCCCAAAGGAGGGCGAAGAGGGTGGTGACACCCAGGAGGATGGCTGTACTCTTGCCCACATGGGGCCGCAGACCACTCTGGCTCTTCCTCCGCAGCCGGCAGACGATGGCCGAGTTGGTGACCAGGAAGACGCCACAAGGGATAAAATAGACCGTGAGGCAGTGAGCCCACTTGAGGACCTCGTCCAGCATGCTGGGGGGTTCCGCGTCCCTCCACACATCCAGCCACCAGTAGAAGGGGATGCCCGTCAGCAGGGCGGCACCGAGGACAGTGGCGATGGCCCGGCGGGTCCGGCCTGGGGACGAGGTGGCCCGGTGATGCAGCGGGTGGCACAGGGCGCTGTAGCGGTCCACCGTGAGCAGGACAGCAATCCAGACTGAGGCATGGTTGGCGGCAAACTCCAGGATGTTAGCCGAGCGCACCACAGCCTGGGGCACCTGCCGGGCCAGCACGGCCCCCTGGAGGAGGAAACCCACGAACACGATGACCACCTGGGTGACGATATCCGAGGCCGTGAGAGCCAGAAGGTAATAGTAGGAGGGCTTCCTGGTCCTGGTGGCCAGCCGGGTCAAGGCCACTGTGGTCAGGAGGTTGACTGATGGCGACAGAGGTCACAGAGGGCAGAGGCATTAGAAGGGCTGCTTAGACTATGTTTCTAAGGTGTTATCTTCGTCCCTCTCCTCTCCCTGGCTTCTCTTTTCCTCTTTCCAGACCCTTCTGAAAGCTCACTTTATCAGGAAGACTAACCAGGTCAGCCCTGCCCTGTCCATCCATCCAGCACAGGCCATTGACTTCACCCGGGGGCAAGGCCCTACACACGGGCAGGGGTGGGTAATTCCCCAAGGCTGAGACCATCTGTCCTTTCCTGCCCCCACTTCCCCACCTGTCCCCTAGCTCTGCAGCTCTCGGAAGCAGTGGACCGTAGGGGAAGATTTCAACCGAGCTGAAGGCAGTCCTACACGAACTTAGCCTAGCACAGTGCCCACTGCCAGGGGGGTGGAGGGGGCTGTCCCTTTTGGTGAAACCTTGGCTTTAGCCATGAGCACCCCAAATCCTGGCCCCTCCCTTTTACTCGCCACAATACTTTGCTCCCCATTGACCCAGATCACCCTATAAAGTCAAAGAGTGTCCTGGAGTCTAAGATTCTGGGTCTCAGGGGTCAGCACAGAGGATGGGCATCCATCGAAGGAGGACCCCCATTTCCGCCCACCCCCAACTCCCAGACCCCATCTTCCCACTCACCAGGCAGCCCCAGGCCCAGCAGGATGCTGTAGTAGATGACAGGGATGACACCAGCCACACACGGGGACCGCTCTGGGATTTCTGGCCAATGGCCTTCCAACTCCTGGCTTGGCCCACTGCCGTTGGCTGTGGGCAGCAGGGTCGCTCGTGGCGGGCCAGCTGGGGAGGATGGAAGGGTCGGGTTAGAGCTTTAGGTCTCTCTCCAGCCTGCCCCTGCCCCTGAGATCATTATTCCTTCCTATTCTCTGCACATCCCCTGGTCAGGCCCAGCAAATGGCAATCCCTATTGCCAGGTCCACCCCACCCCACCCCTGACTCCCCCATTAAAGGGAAGCAGTCCTCCGAGGCATTTCTTGCTGCCATGGACACTATTTCTCCATTGCATTGCTCGAGGTGCATCTTCTGCCTGGAAGGCAGGGCCCTGAAACAGACTGGATGGCATGGTCGGGGGGGGGGCGGGGGGGGCGCGCCCATTTGAGCATGCAGATTCCTGGGCCTCGCTGCAGGCAGTCTGAGCCGGGGTCCGGAGTGGGGCTTGGGCGGCTGTGTTTTTAGCGAGCAGCCTGGATGATTCTCACCCCCGGTGCTTCACAGCAGCCCCTTGGCTCTACTCAACAGCCGCCCCATCTCTAAGGGGTGACACTACTAGGCTTCCTGCTCTTCTTCCCTAAAGAGCAGCCCTCTTTCTAAGGTTAGCAGTACTGGAGCTGGGATGGCCCTGGTTTTCAGATGGGGAAACTGAGTCCAGAGAAGTAAGGTGACCACATACTCTGGTCCTTGCTCCTCTCAGCCCACACTTTATTATTTTTTTTAAAGATTTTATTTATTTATTTGACACAGAGAGACACAGCGAGAGAGGGAACATAAGGGGGGGGGGGGGCGGGAGAGGGAGAAGCAGGCTCAGGGAGCCCGATGCGGGGCTCGATCCCAGGACCCTGGGACCATGACCTGAGCTGAAGGCAGACACTTAGCGACTGAGCCACCCAGGCACCCCTCAGCCCACACTTTAGATCTTTAGGTTTCATGGTCCAGCTTTTGATTTCCTGCTGAAGCCCCAACCCCCCAGTCATCCCTGCCCCCCCCACATGTCCCCCTCCCCCACCCCAGCTAAGCCTAGTTTCCCCGCCCACCTCTCACTGGTGATCAGCTTCAAGCTTCTAGATTCCTCGCCTGTCCCTCACCTGCCTGCCACTGTCCTCTCCCCTCCCACCTCGTTCTGGATACTTTACCTGCCTCCCGCCCCTCAAGCGTCATGCTCCTGGGTCCTGAGTCCTAGGTCACCTCGTGGCTTTTCTGGGAGTCCCCGCAGCTCCCCCCCAGCATCGCCAGCTCTCCAAGGGGTGGTTTGCCCTACGATTCTTCCCGCAGCACTGAGACTGAGCCGGTCAGTGCAGAGAGCTGGGGTGGTGGGAGGAGGGAGGAGGAAGGAAAGGGTGGGGCCGAGGCTCAGGGGAATGAGTCTCCACAGTGGATGCTGCCTGGAGCAAACCAAGATCCCCCGAGCCTGCACAGGCAGGGGTCAGGCTGAGAGGGAGGCCTGGAGGAGGGGGCTGGACTGGGGCTCTGGATAGGCTGCGTTGCGCTCCAGGGCACTCTGGGGACTGGCCTGGGCTCAGCCAGGGCATTTACATCCTGAGAGTGAGGACTTCCAGACAAGGCAGAAGGATCCCATCTGTGGCGTCAGACAGGAGGGCATAAGGGGAGTAGGGGGGAACCAGTGCAGGGCAGGGGTGAGGCCGCCATGGGTAGGGCTCACATCTAGAGGGAGACCGCATCGGCCAGGTTTGAAGGGGGGGGTGGCGGCAGGCAGTGGGACGAGGAGGAGGCTCCCCGGGGGGCTGTGGGCGTGGGAGGCAGGCAGCTGTGCGCAGTGGTGGCAGTGACCTCTGGGACAAGCCTGACCAGGCCACCAGCAGCTCTGGGAATCCAAGACCCAGTGGCCCCACGAGCTGTTGTTTCCCTAGCCTTGGTGAAATGGACCATCCCCCCAGGAGTATTAGTCACTGGCAGATAAACAGCAGCAGGTGCAGTGGGCACTCTGGAGAGACTGGAATCTGTGCCCACTGGCTCCCCCCACCCCCTTGGGGACGTGAACAGTGCGGCCCACAGTGGGCACCAGGGACTAACATGTGGTCTGACTCCGGAGGAGAGCCGAGGTCCAGCCTGGAATCACTTCCCATGCCCATCTCTGGGCATGTAGCAGAGCTGGCTTCCGGGCTCCCTAAGATAGATCCCACATCTGGGGCTGGGGCTACCTGGACCCTCAGCCCCACTCCCACCTTCACACCCACCTGGGCTATCACAGAAGACTTGCTGCCCCCTGGTGGCCGTATTCTGACCATGCAGGCCTCCAGAGAGTCCACGGGCTTTGGCCAGGTCCTCTGGGTGGTACAGCAGGACCAGAACAGGCACGACCCACTCGGATCCCCAGGCCGTATTCCAGGACCCCAGCCTCAGAGAATGCAAGAAGCACAGATAATTCCCCAGGCCACCACGTCCCTGCACCATGAGGCTATGGGGACGAGGAGCTGCTTACAGTCAAGTTGAAAAGACCAAGCAGGTGTGACGGGCTCCGGCAACATTTCCTGAGCTCTTACTCTTGCTCCTACACTTGTCACCCTCAAGGCAGCCCCACAAGCTAACTCTGGTCACCTCCATTTCACACAAGAGGGGACAGAAGCTCAGAGAAGTTCAGCAACCTGGCTAGGGCCACAGAGCCCCCCTGTGGCATGGGAATTTGAACCCCAGAGCTATTCACTTGTCACCCCCTCACACAACCTTCCCCCGGAGAACAGGTGCACAGGCAGGAAGAGGCCACTGTGAGCTCAGGCTTTAGGGAGGAAGGGGATGTGGGTCAGACAGAACACTCAGGTAGGGAGGGGCATTGCCGCGGGGGGTGGATATCACGGTAGCGGGTGCTGGGGCAGGAGAGTGGATCTGCCTCTATGACGGCGCAGCCTGGCTTCCCGGAAGCTTCCAGTAGCCTGTGACTTCCTTCAGGGAAAGATTCCTTCTTGTTTATTATTAGTGTGCCCCCCCTGAGTACACTGGTCTGGAACCTAAACTCAGGATCCCCTATTCCCTAATCTAAGTGTCTGAAGGCACCCTAGCTCAGGAAGGGAGATGTTATAGATCTAAGGGAGTCCACACTCTAGGTAGGGCTGGGTCTGGGGACCCACCGCTCTGGGGTGGGTATTACCCCCATCCAGCGTCTCATCCCCCATTCTGCAGATAAGAAAACCATCCTGCCCCAAGCTTGCAAGAATTTTCAGTGGCGGGCGCCTGGGTGGCTCAGTTGGTTAAGCGACTGCCTTCGGCTCAGGTCATGATCCTGGAGTCCCGGGATCGAGTCCCACATCGGGCTCCCTGCTCAGCGGGGAGTCTGCTTCTCCCTCTGACCCTCTTCCCTCTCGTGCTCTCTCTATCTCTCATTCTCTCTCTCTCAAATAAATAAATAAAATCTTTAAAAAAAAAAAGGTATTTTCAGTGGCTTTTACAGCACTAGAGATTCCTTGCCCAGTGGGGATCATATCTGTCTGAAATAGCTTCCCATGTAGGGACCCAGTGTAGGGTCATGGGAAGAAAGTCAAGCAAAAAAGTGGCATTTGAATCCTGGCTGCTGTGAGAGCTCAGACAAGTCACTTAGGTGATAAACACTCTGTCTCAGGCAGGAAGTAGCACTCCTCTCTGGGAATTGTTCTAGCTTGTGAGCTCATCAGACTTGCTCTCAAGGAATGATGGAGCTTCCAGATCCACAGGGCAAAATAAAATGGAGTGTCTCAGATCCTCTATCTCAATGGCTGTGCAGGGCAAATGCCCTCCTTTCTCTCTCCCGCTCCAAGACTCTAGCACACGACACTCATGCACGTATGTGCATACACACACACACACACACACACACACACACGCATGCAGGCACGCACTCCCAACAACTCTCAGACTAAGAAACTGAGAAAAGAGAATGCCTATTTCTGGAAAGTCAGCTTCTAAATCGTTAGAGAGGAGGTTCAGGGACAACGAAGTTAGCAATTGTAGGAGGTGGGGCCTCTCAGAGATGGAGGGTCAGAGGTGACCCTTCCTAGTCCTCTTGGTCATCTGGGGCCTCTCGATCCCTGCACACTCGGAATGGCATCCATCTTACTCCGGAGGGTAAATCTTAGCTTGTGCGTACATGACAATCACCCAGCGTGCTTAGAAAATCCTGGTGTCCTGGCTTCTAAGTAGAGCACGGGAGATTCCAACACAGATGGACTCTACCTTCTAGAAAAGCAGATGCAGCCCCAAGGAGGCTGGAGTTAAGAAAAGAGTTTACGGAAAGCCGGGTTTCTGAGTAAGTGGGTTCTCTTACCAACGTCTCTTTATCATCAGATAACGATCCTCCTGAAAAGCATTGCACATGGAAACGGGTGCTCTCGGAGGCCTGGAACCCCATCACACTGAGGCTCTGTCTTGCTGGTCTGGGCCGGGGAGGTGGTACAGTCCATGGGAAGGGCAGGCAGGCAGCCAAGGGATGGTGGATCTGGACGAGGGGAGCCAGGCGTGAAGGTCAGGGCACCCGGGAGGGGTTTCCGCTGCGCTGGATTGCTCCATCTCTGCCAACCCGGACGAGGCAGGTGCCAGACCCAATTCTTGCTCTCTCTGCAGCTCTGGAGAGGGGGTGGAGCTGTTGGTGTGTCTGTGCCAGCCCGGAGCAGCAGAAATCAATGCGTGGAGCTCGTGCCTGGGACCCAGAGAGCAAGGGAGGGCAGGCTCCATCCCCAGTCAAGGACCCAGCCTCGGGGGAAACGGAGCTGGATCTCTCAGTCCATCGGTTCATCGAGCTTAAAGCAGAGTCTGTCCCAGGAAGACCTGGGCCAGGCCCCACTTGCTCCGCAAAAAGGTGAGGCCTCAACAGAACACATGGACCTACCCACTCCCCTTGGGCTCTAGACCCCACCCTCCTCTCTCTATTCCTTTGGATTTAGAAAAGCCCTCCTCTGCACTGACCCAACTGAGACTGTGACCTAGCTCTCTGCCTCAATTTCTCCTACAGTTGGGGCGGGATGCTGGGTCTGCTGTGTGTCTCCTTGGAACTCTGGGAAGGGAAACATTACATTTGGAAGTTAGAAGCTGGTAAAAGGGGGCACCTGGGTGGCTCATTCTTTAGGCGTCTGCCTTTGGCTCGGGTCATGATCCCAGGGTCCTGGGATCGAGCCCCGCATCAAGCTCCCTGCTCGGTGGGAAGCCTGCTTCTCCTCCTCCCTCTCCCACTCCCCCTGCTTGTGTTCCCTCTCTTGCTGTGTCTCTCTCTGTCAAATAAATAAATAAAATCTTTAAAAAAAAAAAAAGCTAGTAAAAGAAGGCTTCCAAGAGGTAAGTCTAGAGACCTGAGGCACTCAGGAAGGTGAGTTAAAGGAAGCGACAGGGCAGACAGGTGACCACCTCAGCATCTCCAGTCCCCGAGCCCAGATTTGTGCTGGTTGGGAAGGGGGGGTGGACTGTCTGCTGAGGGCCAGCCTCTTGCAAGGGGGCCAGCCCTGCTCTGGGCAGAGGGCCTCCCACGCAGAGGGGCACGACACAGTGTGTAACTGCTCCGGGCCCAGCCCTGCCATCTTGGTTCACATTGATCCTGGGGGATGATGGTCACAGTCCCCAGGGGACCTCCCTAAAGGCCCATCACCCTCCCCAGAGCAGGCCAGGAACATGTTCGACAAGGAAGAGGAAATGATACCAGTTGTCCAGTGGGCCCCTATTCGAGACCCTTGCCCTGCTCTCTGAAGAGCTAGCCCACCCCAAAATGGAAGAAGGGGAGGGATGGGGGCCTGAGCCGCTCCTCCTCTCCCCTCTTCCAGACCCTTCCTTTGTAGCCCGCTCACCATGGCACTTTAGCCAAGATGCTGCCAAGAGCGCTCTGTGCCAGGACGGACACTGGGCTGGGGGCTGGGGCTGGGGACTGGGGACCCTCTGGGCCAGCAGCTGCCAGAGGTCCTGGAGCCCCTGGCCTGCCCTGTGGAGAGCCTAAAATCTCCCAGGAGAGAAACGACTAGCTCTGCTGGGTGGTGGAAGACGTGGGGGAGGGTGCCGGATCTGTCCCCCTCGGGGGCCTGAAGGCAGCACAATAGCCCCAGGCTGCCGCTCTCTGGCTTAAGTGGTTGCCTGGGCAACAGCTGGGGCCAGTTTCCACCAATCCTCAGCAGAGGCTGGGTTAGGGGGAGGGAAGCTGGCCGGGAAGGGGGGTGCCATCCCCTTGTGCTGAATCCTATATAAGGAGGAGGGATGTGAGCACAGTGGTCTGGGCTTCACTGTCCCTCCAGGGAGCTCAGGGGCGGGGCACAAAGATGCTTCGCTTGGGCTCTGCCAAGCCTGGGTCCTGGGCCAGCTTCTGGGCCATCCTGACCTTGGTGGGGCTGGCCACTCGAGCAGGTGAGCGGGCAGTGGGTGGGGTGGGGGTGGAGGGCAGGGAAGAGAGGCAGGACCTTTCGGCCCTAGCCGCACGAGGCCGGGAGGGGGCGGTGTCCAGCTCCACGGAGGAGGGCCGCCTGCCTGGGGGAATAAGGGCTGGGGAGGCAGGCGGGGCTCTTACAGACCAGAAGACCTTTCTACTGTCCATTGTGCATTGTCCCAGACAGGTGGGCCCAGGCACCCTGGCAGCCGGGTGGAATGCTGTCAAGTGACAGCTTCAGGAGGGGAGGGCTGGGAAATTAACTGCCCACCCACCTCTCACCCTCCCCTTCTCCCTCAGTCTCCCGGTCTCTTACACACAGATGCTCTGCTCTCACGTGAGCCTTCTCTCTGGTAGTCCACATGGGCCTGTGCGTTCGTGTGTGCGTGTGCGTGTGCGTGTGCGTGTGCCGGGGCAGGTGCTCATGGTTTGCTGTCAGACACCCACCTTGTCTCCCTCCGAGGCTCCTCACACTGTTCTCTGTTTGGGGAAGCTGTTGGCAGCCTTTTCGGTCCCTGAGTTTTCTGTAACAGAGTGCGTGTCCCCATCTGACCCTCACAGCATTCCCTGGAAACACAAGAGAAGGGCCCAGGGTGGCCAGCCTGGCAGGCTCGACACACAGGTGCCCTGAGAGTCCCCTTCCAACACCAGCTCGCCCTCTGTGTTTTCTCTGGTCCCCCACCAGCCACCTGCTGCCAGTGGACTTAAGTCTCAGAGGTCAGGACCCAGGAGGGCAGCTGGGCCAGGAAACAGCTTCTCCTCCGGCCCGCAGCCCTCCTCTCACGCTGGGCCTCACCCCTCCCAGTCAGTGCTCTGGCCCTCCCTGACCCTCTCGCTGCTCCCGTCACTGCCAGCCCATCCTTTTCAAGGGCCTGTGCAGGGCTGGCGCCTGTGCTCTGGCTGGCTCCTTCTCGTCACTTCCTCAGGAAGCCATCCCTGATTTCTGTCCCTCCAGTAGCCCTATCCTGACTCTCACTTCCCTTATTCATCACAGTCGCAAACTAGAGTGCTTATTTGGGCACTTAATGCCCATCAAAGGAGCTGGTTGGTGCTTGTCTCAGGAGGTGAGAGGGGTGGGGTGCCTCAACCCTTGCCTGGCTCTCTGGTGTCATGGACACCGGTTCTGGGGCATTCCGTCCCACACTGGTTCATGATCTCTCCTCACCAGGAATCTAGCCCCCTTGCAAGAGCATCCTCTCAGGGGGCTGCTCAGGGTCAGGCTGACAAGCTTCCCCACCCAGGAAGTGCTTGTGCATGCACGTGCGCGCGCGCACACACACACACAAGCATGCATCTGCGTGCTCCACGGGCACACACAGGAATGCACGCGGCCTCTGCCCGCACCCAAGCGCACGCGTCTCCAGCTGGTCCCTCTGCACCCCTGGCTGGCACCCTCCCTGGGCCCGGGGGGCCTTCTCAGCCGTGGCGCGTTCCCTCCTGCCGCAGCTCAGAGAGCCGATGTGGGCAGCGAGGCCACGGGCACCCCCATCAACCACTCCCAGACGCTGCTCCAGCGCTTGCAGGAGCTGCTAAGGCAGGGCAACGCCAGCGACGTGGTTCTGCGGGTGCAGGCAGTGGGTACCGACGAGGTCCGCGTCTTCCACACGCACCGCCTGCTGCTCGGCCTGCACAGTGAGCTGTTCCGGGAGCTGCTGAGGAACCAGAGCGAGGTGGCGCTTCAGGAGCCCCGGGACTGTGCTGCCGTCTTCGACAAGTTCATCAGGTGGGCAAGGATTAGGGGGCGCCTCCCTCCCTTTCCCAGGCCCTGGCTCCTCGGCTCACCGGCTCCCAGAAGCGCTGGCGCCTCAGAGGACATTGTGTCCATCCCCTCCCCCAGGTCATCAGGATGACCGTGCCACCGCCTTATATTCATCCCTTCTCCCACTGCCCTGTCACGTGACTCCCTGCCCTTGCCTGCAAGCTCTGTTTCCAGGCCTGGTCTTGAGGGCTTTGCAAAACTGCAGATTCCCGAACCCCGCTCTGGATCGTCCGCTTCGGGTCTGGGGTTGGGCCCAGCAGTGATTTTTTATTTTTTTATTTTAAAGCCTCCCTGTGGCTTTAGTGTCTGGCCAGGTTTCTGAGCCGCCGGGCCGGGGGGTGGCGCGGGGGCAGGGTGGGGGGAGTGAGAGGCATCTCTCTCTCCTGTCCCCTGCTCCCAGCCCACCGGCTGGAGCACCATTCACACTATCGTCAGAGAGAGGAACCCGGTTTTCACAGTTTATTTGTTTATTAAAGATTTTTATATATTTATTTGAGAGAGAGAGCAGAGCCAGAGGGAGGGGCAGAGAGAGAAGCAGGCTCCCTGGGAGCCGGACATGGGCTCCATCGCCGGACCCTGGGATCGTGACCTGAGCTGAAAGCAGACGCTTAACTGACTGAGCCACCCAGGCGCCCCTGTTTTAACGGTGTAGACAAGATGGCTGCAGAATACCAGGCAGTAGGAAGAGGGTTAACACAGAAGGGCACGGGGTCTTCTCCCCAGGAGTCAGATCTATCAAAGCAGCCTTGCCCCAAACCCCATCCGGGGCCTCTGCTGACATCTGATTGGCTAGAATTTAGTCACATGGCCATGCCCACTATAAGGGAGGCCGAGACCCATCTTTATTCCCAGAAGCAAATAGTGGGGCTAAAATGCAGGGGAAAGGGGAGACCTGGGTGTTGGTGCAGCTATGGGCAGCTCCTGCCACACTCCCATGGAGCGTGTGCCCGTAGGGGCCTGGCAGGAAGGGTGAGCCGAGGGATGGGAGCAGATGGGGACAGGGAGTGAGTGAGCAAGACCCACAATAGAAAAGATCCAGTGAGAAAGATGAGCTGGCAAGAAGGGGAGGAGGGTGGAAGGAATTAGCCTGTTTCGATGGCCTGCTTCCTAGCAAGTCCAGTTCACTCTCCCCCAGCTGTCACAGTGACCCTGGTACCCCCTTTCCCCGATGATTGGCATAAGGTTCAGTGAAGTTAAATGACTTGCCCACTTGCAAGTACGGTATGGATCTGAGCCCAGGGTTATAAAGCCCACAACGGCAGGAGCCTCGTTTGTCTTATTGCCTAAACCTCGGTGCCTAGTAGATGCTCAGTAACTACATGCTGTTTCCAAGTCCCCACAAGAAACGGTCCTTGAGACTAAGACAGGAAGCCTCGGGGCCCACTGTGCCGCTTGCACCCCTGACCACAATGCTCTCCACCCAAGGCCGGGTGCCCCTTGCGGTGTGTGAGTGTGTGGGGAGGGGGCAGAGCTGGCCCCGCCCTGACCCTGCCCCATCTCTGCGCGCCCCTCCCGCAGGTACCTCTACTGCGGGGAGCTGACCGTGCTGCTGGCCCAGGCCATCCCCCTGCACAGGCTGGCCACCAAGTACGGCGTGGCCTCCCTGCAGCGCGGCGTGGCCGACTACATGCGTACGCACCTGGCGGGCGGAGCGGGCCCGGCGGTGGGCTGGTACCACTACGCGGTGAGCACCGGGGACGAGGCCCTGCGCCAGAGCTGCTTACAGTTCCTGGCCTGGAACCTGTCGGCCGTGGCAGCGAGCGCAGAGTGGGGCGCCGTGAGCCCCGAGCTGCTGGCGCAGCTCCTGCCGCGCTCGGACCTGGTGCTGCAGGACGAGCTGGAGCTGTTCCACGCGCTCGAGGCGTGGCTGGGCCGCACCCGGCCACCCCCCGCCGTGGCCGAGCGCGCGCTGCGGGCCATCCGCTACCCCATGATCCCGCCGGCGCAGCTCTTCCAGCTTCAGGCGCGCTCGGCGGCCCTCGCGCGCCACGGCGAGGCGGTGGCCGACCTGCTGCTGCAGGCCTACCAGTTCCACGCCGCCTCGCCGCTGCACTTCGCCAAGTTCTTCGACGTCAACGGCAGCGCCTTCCTGCCCCGCAACTACCTCGCGCCCGCCTGGGGCGCCCCGTGGGTCATCAACAACCCGGCCCGGGACGACCGCAGCACCAGCTTCCAGACGCAGCTGGGCCCGAGCGGCCACGACGCGGGCCGCCGGGTCACGTGGAACGTGCTCTTCTCGCCGCGCTGGCTCCCTGTCAGCCTGCGGCCCGTCTACGCGGACACCGCGGGCACCGCGCTGCCCGCCGCGCGCCCGGAGGACGGCCGGCCGCGCCTGGTGGTCACGCCGGCCACCAGCGGCGGCGACGCCGCGGGCGTGAGCTTCCAGAAGACCGTGCTGGTGGGGGCGCGCCAGCACGGCCGCCTGCTGGTCCGCCACGCCTACAGCTTCCACCAGAGCAGCGAGGAGGCGGGCGACTTCCTGGCGCACGCCGACCTGCAGCGGCGCAACTCCGAGTACCTGGTGGAGAACGCCCTGCACCTCCACCTCATCGTCAAGCCGGTCTACCACACCCTCATCCGGACCCCCAAGTAGCCAAGCGGGGCCGGGGCGGGGACGCCTCAGGAGTGGGAAACAGACGCCTGCCATGGGTGGCCCCCCGGGGTCTGGGAGGGGGGGTGTGGCGATTGGAGGTGCCTACACTGGCCTCCTGGGTGGCCAGGTGCCGGTGGCCTTGGAGCTGGGGTGGAGGCCAGGTGAGGGGTGGTAGAGCAGGTGCCTGGTTTCAGGAGCTGATTTCGCTGCTGGCTTGAAGGCCGCGCTCTTGGTTGAATAAACTGATGCTCAGAGAGCCGAGGGGGTGATTGAACCACCCAGCTCCCAGGTAGAAACAGCCCCAGGAGGGTCCCACAGGTGTGGGGGTCCCTTATCTTTCATTAGCTTTTCCCGAGGATCCCCCACCCCCACATGGAACAGGGCAGGTAAGAGCAACCTAATGGGCCAGGCTGGGAAAACTGGGGGGACTCCAGGACCCCTTGCTGGAGTTTTCCCACCTTGAAGCCAAGAGGCTTACTTAGCTGGGAAATTTCTGAGCCCTGACTTCCAGAGGGTATCACCCTCCCACCCCCATTCGGGTAATTAGGCTCTTTATGGTCTGAGCCACCCCAAGTCTCTGACCTCCCATGGGAGGGAGCCCAGGCAGGTGTGAAGGCTGGTGGGATGGGGCATGAACAGACCTTGCCAGGCCCACCCTTCCTGGGGACGGTCTAGAGAAAAACCCCTCTCCCCCAGGTATTTGTAGGTTGCTTCAGTGTAACCAGAGGGAGATGGGGTGTCGGGGAGGGAAGAGGAAGGCGTTGGTTTGCCTCTTAATCACTCTTGGCCACCCCACATTCCAGACAAGGTCTAGTTTCCAACATAACCATCAAGACCCAAATGGGAGGGGCGCCTGGGTGGCTCAGTTGGTTAAGCGACTGCCTTCGGCTCAGGTCATGATCCTGGAGTCCCGGGATCGAGTCCCGCATCGGGCTCCCTGCTCGGCAGGGCGTCTGCTTCTCCCTCTGATCCTCCCCCCTCTCATGCTCTCTCTCTCTCATTCTCTCTCTCAAATAAATAAATAAAATCTTAAAAAAAAAAAAAGACCCAAATGGGATTTTATTGTTACACTACCAAGTAACAAAACCAGATTCCCTCCTCTGCCCCAACCATAGGATGTGAAGTGACTGTTGGCTCCTTCCCCAACCATCCGGGATGCCCTTACCCCAGATGTAGACCCAGGGGCCCCATCCCACGAACAGCTTCCTTCCCCCTCCCATCTCCAAGGCCGAGTCCAGCCACAGGTCTCTACAGGGTTTTGGCAACAGGGTTCTATCCAGGGCTGGGAGGCCCAGGAAGTCCTGTCATCCTGGCCATGCCTCCTGAGTTCACCTACCTTCCCCAGTGGCACCGAAAGCATGGAGGTGTTGGGCAGTCACCCTCATAATTCCTGGGTCTCATGGGCCCCAGCCTTCTGAGATCCTGAGCTCCTGCTCACAGGTGACCCACCTCTACCCAGCCTCCATCTCCCATTTTCTGCTACACCCCATCCAGTCTTGGGGGCAGGAGGGCTGTTCCAGGCAGGGCCCCTCAGGTATGCCCGAAGCGTATGTCTTTGCCATGGGTGCTTGTGCTGTGAGCCAGGCGGGGCCCACGGGCAGCCCGTCGGGAAATACCAGCTGGGTTGGACGGAACAGCGAGGGCTGAGGAGTCCCCAGGCCCTGCAACAGGGGAAGGGCCGGGAGCAGGGGTTTAGGAATTCCTCCCACTCCCTCTCTGTTCACCCAGTGGCCTTGAACTCCCTAAGGGCACAACCCCAAGATGCCAGTCCCACGAATATTCTGTGAGAAACTGGTTCCCAGCAGTGGGTAGCCCTAGGTGAAGGGAGCTCAACATGCCTCCTCCCTGGGCTGGCCAAGGGCCCCCCCTTCCCATTCCCTCCCTTGCTGGTACTGACCTGTGCTCTGGCTTGGAGGGAGTTTGACCTTGGCCAAAGGCAGCATGACCTTTCCCAGATGCCGGATACCAGGTGCTGGGTGTCCACACAATGGCACCCTATGGTCCGAGATGCTCTCCATGGGACGGGGCCCCAGGAGGTGTGTCTTGGGGCGGGAGAGCTGTGTTAGTTGGAGAACAGTGAGGTGAGTCAGAGCTGTATGGGATCTGCTACAGGGATCTGTCCTATATGCCAGCCCTGTGTGCCCCCTATGCCAGCCTGGGGGACAGAGGCACAGAGGGTGGTGCAGGAGCCCCCAGACCCCCAACCACAATGAAGGAGCGCAGACACCCCATCCCCTGTCTTCTGCCTCACCCCTTGTCCCGTGACCTCAAAGGAACGGGACCGCCGCTTCCTCTTCTTGGCCTCCAGTGACTCTTCCCGTTTCTTGCCCGGGGTTTTCTTCTGGCCACGCATCCAGGGCCCGGCGCCATCGCCCCCATGCCCGACTGCCTGGGATGGGGCCTCGCCTGTGCTGCTAGACAGGTTATCCTCACTGGCAGCATGCTGCAGTGTGGGACTCGGCGGCCGCTTGCAGGCCAGAGGGCCCAGTGGCTGCGAATGGTCAGCCTTGGTCGGCAAGTGCAGAGACAGGCTGCTGCTCTCCCCGGCAGGTGCCAGCAGGTGGCGCCCCTCGGTGCCCAAAGCCCGCGAGCGCCGCCTAGCAGCCTTCACTGAGATGCACTTGGTGCCGGTCAGGATCTCCTTCCTCTCTGTAGAGGGACAGAAGGAGCACCCAACGTAGGGGTCAAGACCATATATTCCTCCCCCTCCCTTACCTCCCACACCCCATCTCCTGCCAAGGCAGGAAATGAGCAGAGCCAGAAGGCCTGGGTCACAATTCCAGCCCTCCCACTTGCCTGCTATTTAAGAAACTTAGGGCAAGTTTTTGAGCCTTACCTTCCTCTGTAAATTGGGAATGGTGAAACTAACCCCATAGGGTTATTATGAGGATTAATTGAGAAAATGGGCTCGGGGGTAGGGATGCCGTCTGTATTTGCTCTTAGAATTATTACTGGGTGGGAAGGGGGAACAGGATCCTAAGTGTCATGTGTTCCCCTTTCTGACTTCTGATTGTGCCCTCAGCTCTCTGTGCATCCTTGAGCAGGTGGTTAATCCTCTCTGGGCACTGGAGTCTCTTTATAGAATGGGTAGCACCAAAGGTGTGGGTGCATTCAGCAGTGCAGGAGGGCATGGACTGGGTGACCCGGAACAGTTTAGATGATGCTGGGCTCATGCTGACAGGGCTGGCAGGAGCACACCTTTGTAGGACAAGGGGATCTCCGACAGATTCTCGCTGCTGTCGGGGGAAGAGTTGATCCGGCTGCTCAGGCTGACCAGGCTGTCCTGAGTGGGGGCCTGCGGGGGGAAGTGGTTGAGAAGACAAAGGCATTAGACCCAGCACTAGACCCCATGTCTTACTCAGGGGTGAGGGCCATTTGGGGAGGGCTCCATCCCAACCCCTGGGTGTCTACCCTGTGCCCTCGCCCCCCAGCAGTGGAACCCAGGGCGAGCGGTGCTCAGTGCTCACCTCCTGGGTCACCAGGCCGCCGATCTGGATGGGGGGTGGGGTGGGCACAGAGGAGCTCTTCACCTGCCAGGCTCGGGGACTGGCTTTGAACACGCGGTTGGCTTCACTGAGGTTGGCAGAGGAGGATGGATGGCTACTGACCTGGCTGGTCCCACTGAGGTCCCAGCCCCACCCCAGGGGAGAGCTATTTGTGTGAAGGGAGAAGCCAGGTGTCCTGGCTCCAGACTCGTGCCGTCTCCTCCCTTTCTCATTCCTGCCCCATCTTCCCCAATCAACCCTCATCTGGGTTGGCATCCCCGGGACACGGTGAAGCAGGTGGTGGCTCAGGCTGGCAGGACTGGCTGGAGGTGGTCTCTGGCCTCACCTCTCCGTGCTGAGGGGAGGGAGGACACTGCTCTGCAGGCGCTGCACTTCGGACCTCAGCGTCTTCACACTCTCCGGCTCAGACTCCGGTGTCAGCGTGGTTCCTCCTGGGGTAATTTTGGGCAAGGAGCTGTCCTGGGGAGGGAAGGGTGCGGGAGGCAGGGGGAGGGCAGTCAGAAGATTTGTCCCGGACCAGGGGACAGCACAGGGTGAAAGGCACACTAGGTGGCCAGGGCTGTAACCTGGCTTAGGAGTTTGGGGAGAGCAGGGGGTTTGTGTTCTGGCTCACACGGGATACACGAGTGCCAAAGAAGAATGCCCTGGGACAGGCGCCTTCCTCGGGTGGGGTAAGAAGGAAGGGGAGCTGACTCCCTGGGGTGCCGGCCAGCCTGGTCCCATCCCCACCCCAGCTCCCCGCAGGCACTGCCTAGGGCATCAGCCCCTCCATCAGTACAGGTGCTCAGACCCAGGCCCAGGCTTGCCCACGCTCCCACCTGCAGGGCCCTAGAGGCCACCCGGTCCATGATGGTGGCCTGCTCCAGGCTGCCCTCCTCCAGCTCCCGCAGGTACACTTCATATAGCTCCTCCAGGTGCTGCGGGACGGCCAGGTTGTAGTCTGCCGGGGGCAGGGCCAGGGCTCAGCGCGTGCCCTGGGACCCTCCGCGGGTCGAGGGGCACCCCTGGGTGGCTCGGCCGCGCGGGGCCTACCGTCGATGATCTGCCGCTGGCCTTGGATGATCTGGTCGCAGAGGCTGCGGTGCTGCTCCAGGCGGCGCACGGCCTCGCGGCGGTGGCGGAGCGCGCCATCCCGGAGCAGCGCGTGCGACTGCATCTCGGTGTTCTCCACCTCGAGCTCGTGCACGCGGCACAGCAGGCTGAGCACCTCGCGCTGCTCCTCGGAGCCGATGCGCCTCGGCAGCGTCTCCTCCAGGCGCCGGCCCCGCGCGCGCAGGTCTCGGCAGCGCTGCTCCAGCGCTTGCTGGGGGCGGCTGGGGGTCAGCGCCAGGCTGCGGGCGCGTGAGGGGGGCTGGTCCCACCCCCACCGCCAAGCCCTGCGCCGAGCCTGTCCGCGCCCCTCCAGCCCCTGAGCTCCCCATTCTGAGGCTAACCCTCGAAGCTGTGTCTTGGGCCTTGCAACCAGGGGCTGCTCCGAAATGGCCCCTCTGTGCCCACCTTCTTGCCACCCGGACCACAGCCTGCCCCTGGAATCAGCCCCATGGATATCTGCCCCACCCCAGCCCATCTGATGCCCTCAGAGCTCATCATGGCGCCCCGAAGCCCCTGGTTTGGGTATGCTCCGGAACAGAAGGAAAAGATCCCGTTATCTGGAAAGCCCTGATTAAAATACTGACTACCATTTTTTGAGTCCTTGGTATGCAAAAGGCATTGATTTAATCTCCCCTACAACCCCACTAGGACCGCACCACGACTACTCCCATTTTAAATATGAGTAAGCGAGGCACAAGAAGGAATTTAGCAAGGTCACAGAGGATCTGAGGCCTGAGCCCCTGGGGCTGAGTCCTCCTGCACCCCATCCCCAGCCCTTCTGGCTTGGGCCTCCAAAACCATTCCCCTGCCCCCAGCCCCAGGCACCTTCTGCTTCCGCAGCTTCTTCTGCTCCCCCACCAGGGCGGCAATGCTCTCCCGGGCTGAGGCCACCTCTGGGGGCTCCAGGGTGTCTGGCTGGTCATCACCTGTGTCTGAGTCCTTCTCGCTGTCATCCTTGGTGTAGGATTCCTTCCGCTGCTCTTCCCGCCATTTGAGCGCCCTGCGGGACTTCTCATGCTCCCAGCTGCCGCGGTCCCACCCCAGGGAGACAGGGGAGTCAGACCATAGTGGGCATAGCGTGCGGCTACTGTCCCAAGCCCGGGGTGGGACCTGGACGGCCCCAGAGCAGGGGCTGCTTACCCGGCAATGGTGAGCAGGTGGCGGGAGGTATCGATCTGGACCTCCATGGCATGATTCTCCAGCTCCAGCAGGCGTCTCCGAACGTCCATCTGCTCCTGGAAAGCGCTGATAAGCTGCTCCCGCAGCTGCCCCATCTCGGCCTGCTCACCCTGTCCACTGTGCAGTTGGACCTCGGCTGCCCAGTGGGTGGGGGTGGAGGAAGTCAGTGGAGGAGGGAGGGTCAGGCCGGGAAAATCTGGGCCTACATGGGGCCCTCCCTCATCCCTTTCTTCCCAAACCACTTCCTGTCCAACCACCTCCTCCCAAAAGACCTCCTAGATTACTACCTCCTCCCACCCCCACTTCCACTCTGAGTCTTCTGACTGTGGTCCAAAGGTGATTCCCAGCTCCTCTGTATGAACTGGGTTTCCACTAGCCCATAGGTGCCCCTTAGACACTTTACTGCCATCTGTTGGGAAACCATCCATAGCAAATACACAGATCTACAAGAGAATGGTACCCATTCCAGTGATGCTAAGCACAGCCTCACAGCCCGGAGCGGCACCCCCCCGCCCCCGCAGCTAAATGCTCACGTGTCTCTCACTTGTGTGATCTCATATAATCTTAATTAATGGTAAGTCTCTGAAACAGAGATCACTGTTCTATTTGCCACTTGAACAGAAGCCTCAGAGCAGTTGAAAGATTAGCCCAAGGCTACCGGCCCAGAAAAAGCCTGAGTCTGGATTTGAACCCAGCACCACCTGACCCCTGAGCAATTTGAGACAGGCTGGGAGGGCTGCCTGAGATGGGCTCCCACGAACAAAGACCCATGCACACACCTTGGATGTGGCGGATGTCACCCCTCTCCAACCGGCCCTGGGCCTGGCCCCGCCCACCCTGCTCATCGATCTTGCACTTGAGCCTCTGGATCTCGCCCCGCAGGTCCGCGATGATGCTGGTGTACTGGGCGATGTGGTAGGAGACATTGAGCAGGTTCTGCTTCACCTGTGGGGAGCACAGCATGGGGGCAGGGCAGGTACAGTCACCCCAGATTCTGGGGCCAGCCTGCAGGGTCTTCTTTCTCTTTCTGCCCCCTAGTCTTCTTGGATGACGGTCATGGGCCCCCTGGCTTCCGACCCCCAAACCTATCACACTCCACGCCTCTGCCAGACCCCTACTCCTAAAATGCTGCTTCCTCTGCTCATCAACCTTCAGTGGCTCCCTACTGCTCAGGAGAAATGCTCTAATTCCCTCACCTGGGCCCACCACTATCTCAATTTTCATTTTTTAAAAAAAGATTTTATTTGTTTTATTTATTTTAGAGATAGGGAGAGAATGCATGAGTGAGGGGAGGAGCAGAGGGAGAGGGAGAGAGAATCTCAAGCAGACTCCACGCTAAGCGCGGAGCCCAATGCGGGGCTCGATCCCACAACCCTGAGATCATGACCTGAGCTGAAATCAAGAGTCAGATGCTTAACCTAATGAGCCACCCAGGCGCCCCTCTCAATTTTCATTTGATCACTGCACCGGGAACATTCTGCTTTGGTTGAGGAACCATTCTGTTGTCCCCAACCTTATCACAGATACAATCTCCTTCCTGCCCTTGAAACCTCTATGCTTACTGCTACCGACCCCCTTTCTAGAGTGTCCTCCCCATCCTTCAGAGTCCCACTGACAGTCCCCAAAGAGCTCTACCAGATCCCACCAGCCCACCCCCACTTCCTGTTTCCTCTCTGCCTCAGCACCTACTGTTGGCATCACTTGCCAGCTATTAATAATATTCTGAACTATCAATATTCAAGGACATGTCTCCTCCTCCCATTAAGTTCCTGGAGGGTTGGAATAGCACACAAAGCCCCCGGGACAGTGGCTGGCAAAGTGCAGTGTTGCAGGGGTGTTCGTAAGTCCTATCTGGCGAGCGTCCATTCCCACCCTTCCGTGCACACGGGTCCAGAGAGGCTTCCTACAGCAGGCCGCGGGGACTCTAACGCCTTTGCCCGAGGGTGACAACGTGCGCTCGGAAGCTAGGCAGGGCCACTTCTAGTCTCAGGGCCATCCATCACTGGCCAGTTGGGAAGTCACTTAACTTCCTTCAGCCTCACTTCTCTAAATGGCGAGATGGGAGTGTAGGAAGTCTGGCCTCGCTGGAGGAGCGAAGGAGGGGATGCATGAAAGTGCTCAGAATTGGCTGCCTGACCGATTGGGGGCTTTGAAAATGTCAACGTCTGAATGGGCATCTGAAAATGAAAAGTGGGGCTGGGAGGAGATGGGGCACGGGGCGCATGACCTTGAACAAGGCGGAGGGTGCCCTCGGGAGCGGTGGGCTTCCTGGCAGGTGCACAGGTGTTGAAGGTGCGGAGAAGGGCGCAGGGTGACATGGGTCTGGGGATGGAGGCCAGTGCCACAGTGGCCAGCTCCAGAGAGAGTGGAGTGGGGTGGCAGGAATCCCTCCAGGGGCTACAGTCTTGGCCCAGGAAGGGCCCTCACCCTGGTCTTGATGTTCTTGGCCCGGCCGGCGTAGGTCAGGGTGTTCCGGGACTCCTCAAAGGCGCTGCTGGCGGGACTGATGTGGGCGATCATCACGGTGCGGCTGTTTCCGCCCAGGGAATCCTGGATGGCGGGGAGGGTGGGCTGCCGTCAGCAGGGGACCACCTCCCTGGGACCCTGCTCCTACCAGGCTGTGCTCTCTCGCTCGCTCTGTCACACACACACACACACTCACAGACACACTCACTCACAGGTGCTGGGGTTGAGCATCACATGGACCCCCCCACCCCGCGTCCAGATATTCCCCCACTCCTTCTGTTCCTCCTTCACACTTGCAGTTTCTTTTCCAAATTTCCATTTGAAAATTTCAAGTATCTGATCCGGGTCAGGGCCTCCTGGCTTCTCCTTTCCCTCCCCTCATACGAGAGAACGAGGAAAGGCGGCAGCCATGGTGGCTGGAAACCAGAGTGGGAAGGTGCCCTGTGGGCTCCCCCTCCCCCGTCCCATCCCCTCCAGCCTCTCAAGTGACCCCCAGAGCCCCCATTTCTGACTGCTGATGGCGCTGCTGTTTTGGCTGGAGTGAGAGATGGGGGGACGGCGACCACTGTATGAAAGATGAATGTGGCCTGTGGCCAGCCCCTCCCTTGTTCCATGTGAACAGCCCTGCGTGCGCGGTTGGGGGTGGCAGGGAGAAAGCCCCAGGTCCCATTATTAGCAGCAGGGTGATCTCTGGCATGCTCTTCGCCTCCCTAATCCTTGGATTCCTTGCTCTTAAAAACGGCAGCAATCATGCCACCGTCCCCCCTCCCAGCTCGTGGGCACACTGATGGCAGCAGGCTGGGGGTGGGCTCGGGTGACACCACACTTATACTGGACCATAGACTCTGTCTTCCAGCACTTACTACCGTGGGCCCTTGGAAAGGCTACTTAACCTCTTTGTGCATAGTTTTCTCATCTGCAAATGGAAATAGTATTCCCCCGATGCCTAAGGTTGCTTCAGGAAGAAAGGAGCTAGTCGGGTGAGGCCCAGCCAGGGGTGGGCCCCCAAACAGCAGACACTGTGAGCCATGAGGCTGATGTCCACCAGAACCCCCAATCCAGGCAGCTCTTAGTTCCCTCAGACCTGCAACCCGGCGGGGGGCGGGGAGGGTGTCAGGTGCAGTGCCTTTCCCTCCCTGCTGCCCACTCTTTGGTTAGGGTCACCAGGTAAAATACAGGACACTCAGTTAAATCTGAATGTCAGACAAACAAGGAATGATTTTTTTTTTTTTTAGTATAAGTATGTCCCAAATGTTGCATGGGACACACTTATACTAGAACAAATTTTGTTGTTTATCTGAAATTCAAATGTAGCTCGGTGGCCTATATTTGTTTTTTAAAGATTTTATTTATTTATTTGAGAGAGAGAGGGAGAGAGAGCACGAGTGGGGAGGGAGGGGCAGAGGGAGAGGGAGAAGCAGGCTCTCCGCTGAGCAGAGAGCCGGCTCGGGGCTCGATCCCAGGACCCCGAGAGATCATAACCCGAGCCGAAAGCAGCTGCTGAACCGACTGAGCCACCCAGGCGCCCCTGGGTGGCCTGTATTTTTATCTGCTAAGTCTGGCAGCCCTCCTGTGGGTGCCCAACGCCCGGGCCCGGCTGCGGCGGTACCTTCAGGAGCCGGGTGAGCTTGCTGTCGCGATAATTGATGTACTTGTTGCTGCTCTTGTCACTCAGCGCGTTGATGCAGTTGCCCAGAGCCAGCAGGGAGCGGTTGATGTGAGCGCCCTCCTTCATGCGCTGCCCACGGTTCTGCGTCTGGCGGGGGGAGCAGTGGGCAGAACCGTGGCCTCGCGGGGCAGGGGACAGGCTCCACCACCGCCCTGGGCCGTCCTGGGCCGCAAGCCCCTCCCACTCCCTCAGGGCTCTGAAATGTGCAGGTGACCGAGGGCCTAGTTTCGCCCTCTTCCCAAGGGTCATGGAGGGCATTCGAGAAGGTGAGAGAACTGGAAGGCCTCTGAAAAGAGTGACGGACTGAGGGCTTCTGAGGAGGGCTGAGAGTCTGGCTCTTTGTCTCCCCCAGGGGCTGGCCCCACGGCGCCAAGAATGACACGGAAGGAGGTTGAGGCTTCCCTGGTGGCTCAGCTAAGAGCTGGCATGACCAAGGGCATGTGGCTCCAGAGGGTGCCCCGGGCTTCAGGGGAAGGTGGGAAGTCTGTGTGTGTGTGTGTGTGTGTGTGTGAGAGAGAGAGAGAGAGAGAGAGAATGTGAGGGACATGTGTGTATGTGTGAGAGAGACTATAAGGGAGAGAGTGTGTGTGTGTGTGTGTGTGTGTGTGTGTGTGTGGAAGAAAGAACGTGTGTATGTGTGAGAGTGTGTAGGGAAAAGAGTGTACGTGTGTGATGTGCTGGGTTCCTCTCCGTTCCTTGGGCCTGCAGGGACACTGTCAAGGCCAAGGAGGCTCTGCTCAAAGCTGCCTGGCCCTCCAAAGCTGGGGCCTCGGGGCACACCCCCTCTCCCTGGCTGCTCCACTGTGTCCCTCCAAGAAGCCCTCAGGCCTTCCTGGGAGAGAGGGGTGTACTTCTTGAATCCCCCCTGTTTAAACCCAATCCCACATGTTCTAACATGAAACCCTGTTAATTCACCCTAGCCGCCAGCCTGTCCCTTGCATTTGCTAGCAGTGACATCACCTGGCCTCATCCCTTGGGGGACCGTGAAACCTCCCAGTTTGCCTGAAGAAGGGGGACCTGGGCCTACGCAGTCAGGCAGTGGCCGCAGAGCCAGGCGAGCAGGGCTTAGTGTAGGGGACAAATGCTCTGAGATGGCGATGGGTCTTCCTCTGTCCTGGATGTGGTAGGCAGGGCCTCCTGAGTCAGGGGGGCGTTTGTCTCCCCCCTCCCAGCTCCTCATCTGGGCCTACTCACTCTCATACCCACTGACCCTCCTCAAGGGCGGCCAGTCTCCTTCCTGGAGAAACCCATGCCCTTTCCCACAGATAGCCTTCCCGGCATGCTCCTCTGTGACATTCCTCAGTCCCTTACCCAGGCGGCCCCTTCATCCCCACCCTGCCTAGGATGGCCTCCCCTCTGATCTCCTGGGGAAGCTGGGAGGTCAGCATCCCTGCCCTCTCCCCAGCCCCCCAAAGCCATTCTCCCCGGTGCTGGGGGAGCTGACCTCACCTGGGAGGCACGCTCAGAGCCAGCCAGGTCAATCATGAAGAGGCGGCCCTGCCGCACCTCCTGCAGGATGTTCTTGACCCGGCTGCGCTGGCGCACGGCCACCTGGAGCACGGCGTGGGAGCGGGACGACGTCTGGTTGGCAGCCGTGGGCTCCTGGGTCCTCTGCCGGTTGCCCTTCATCAGCAGCTGCATGATCTAGGTGGGTGGGCGGGAAGGACACCTCTCTGGGGGATCCGTCGGGTTGCCCCCACGTCCTGCATCTTGGAGGTTGGGAAGGGGCCCAGGTTGGGTGGGGGCATCTGGAGGCTGGTGGCCTCGTTCATCCCCCAGGGTTAGTGCAGCCAGGGGGCATGGAGGCAGGTGAGAGCCCCCTGCTTGGATACAGGACTGTGTGTGTGTGTGTGTGTGAGAGAGAGAGAGAGAGAGAGAGAGAGACAGGACTGTGTCTGCCACAGCTCCAGCCCCAGCTGAGCAGGCAGCGCCGCCTTAGCTGCAGTCCTGTGTCTCCTCCTGCCCCCCAGGAGGGGTGAATGGCCCTCTCCACCACCCCGCTGGCTGCACAAGACTTGCCTCTTTGGCATTGATGGTGGAGACCTCAGTGATTCCAGCCACCTGGATCACCCCTTTGGAGTCCTCCCTCAGCTCTAGGTACCCTAGGGCGGGGTTCAGCAGGTCCCGGATCATCTCATTGTAGATCTGATGGGGCCGGTGGGGGAGGGGCAGAGGACGGTGTTAACGGGAGACTAAGGGCAGGAGGTCCAGACAAGAACCAGGTGCCCCATCCTTCCCGAGCACAAAGGGGACAGGAGCTCCCACATTCTGAGCCCCAGCCTGGGAGCTTCAGGCTCCTCTCCGGGAAACTCTGGTTAAGGAGAAAGACCCCTTCCTTTCTATGGGGTGGGCGTAGAGGGGGCTTCAACATCCACAGGGAAACATTGGGCTGCCAAAACCTGGGATGCAGAAAGCTTCAGAACCAAGTGGGATCCCCTTTGCAGGCGGGCTGGGCACTGGGCAGAAGATGGGGACCTCACTGATGGCCCGCCCTGCTTGTTGCTAGGCAACCCTTACGCTACTTCTCCCTGCACCACCCCCCACAAGAGCATCTTGCTGGTTGAGTGAACACCATGCTGGCTGGAGCAGTGTGGCTAGCAGCAACGCCTCCCTGCCCTTCCTGAGCTGTCACCCAGGAGATTATCAGCTCCCGGACGGAGCTGGGGCAGCCAGGAGCCAGGTGGAGTGCAGCCCACTCTCTTCTGGCCTCTGCACGCTCCCACCGCTGATGTCTCCTCGCTGCCCGGTGGGAGCACTCCCACGGGGTGGGCGCTGGGGGCTGAGGCCGGGTATCAAAGGCTGGCAGGTTCAAGCCTGTGCACGCATGCAGGTCTCACCAGTACTCATGCACACGGAGTGCCTGGAGGCGGCGTGGCAGGGCAGACACGGCTTTTCAGGAAGGAGCCCTTGATGATAGCTAGGTGCTGAGCTGTCTGGGAGGGTGGCTGAGGTCTTTGCTCATGGTCAAGGCTACTTTGAAGTGTGGCAAAATAGGCAGGGCTTGGCTTTCAAGGTCTAGGATCCCGAGTTTGAATCCCTGCCCCCTCACTTACTGTGTGATGTTGACCTAGTTGTGTAACCTCAGATTTTTGCAGAATGGGACCAACAGCATGCGTGTGGCTGTCCTAGGGGTCTCTCACCTGAGCTGGGTCAGGGGAGGGCTCACCTCCAGGTAGGACATGGACACCTCATATTCCATGTCATTGCTGGTCTCCTCAATGGCACGGAAGAGGTCATTGAGGGTCCGAACGTAGATGCCAGGCTCATGGTCTGTGCCCAGCATGGTGTAGGTTTTCCCACAGCCTGGGGCAGAACAAGGTGGTGGGTGAGCAGGGTGGGGGCCAGAAGCGCGGCTTTGCTGGACAGGGGCTCCTGGCACACCTGGGTCTGTCCTCAAGGCTGGGCACCCACTAAATGGCCAAGGAGGTAGGGGACAGGGAGGATGGCGTTCTTGGCTGGTGATGGGGCCTCTGGGGCCAGAGGGCCCTGCGGGCGTTTGGATCAGCTACATCCTTGATTCCGGCCTCAGCTGGGGCCAGAGTAGTTCTCCGATGGAGGGTGAGGGGGCTTATTCCTCCAGGGGGACGAATGGGGCATACTGTCCCACGGTCTTGGCCCCTCCCTCACCTGTGGGGCCATAAGCGAAGACAGTGGCATTGTAGCCTGAGATGACACCGTCGATGAGGCTCTTGGTAGTGGCCTGATACACCATCTCCTGCCGGGAAGAGCAGACCCGTCAGGGGCCTTGGGTACACACAGGGCAGAGCACACATGCCCACTGGCCGGCCTGGCCCCCAGCATGAGCAGTTTCCATTTCTGGGGCTCTCAGCCCGAGGAGTAGGGGCAGGGAGTCGGGGGGTGGGGGGTCTCTGCTTTCACCCCATGGGGGACACCAGCCTGAAAAAGAGCTCAGGACACCTGAGATGCCTGCCCCCCCGACTGGCTCCCTGCCCCATGAACGCGTTACATCTGCTCCTGGGAGCATCCCCCAGATGGGCAAGATAGGGGGTCCCTGGGAGGGTGTCAGCTTCCCCGAGACTCCTCCCTGTGCCAGATGGGCTTCACACGCCCTCCTCCAGCTCCCATGGGGACCAGCCTGGGGGTGTGCCTTGTGGGTGCCTATGTCAGGCGGCGTCTGCGCACTGACTTGGGCGTGTCTGTGTGGGAGGCTGGGCACAAGCCATGAAGGTGTGCGCACATTTGCACGCATGGGGACGCGGTAGAGGGGAAAGCCAGAGAGCTAAGGGTGGAGGGAGGGCTGAGGGTCAGTGGCAGGGTCCCCTGAGGGCTCCCTCCTGGGGGGGGGGCAAAGGTTGGAGAGGGGCTCTTGCATGTCGCTGGGCCCAGGCCCTCCCTCACCTGGGTGGCAGTGAAGTCAAAGGCCACGTCAAACAGGTAGGACTTCTCCCGGGAACGGTGTGCCCGCAGGACATCGTCAGGGTCCTCCATCGGGTCCATGAGAACCACCATCTGCAAAAGTCCCCGAGGGGGGTTTGGCAGTCACCAGGGAGCCGCAGGCCCACATTGATGTCAACGCTGGCCTCAGCTCTCCTCACCCAGGACACGGGGCAAGCAGTGGGGAGGGTCTTGCTGGAGGTTCTGGAGCTGAGCAGCCCCGGGACCCTGAGCCCCAGGCCCAGCCCTGCCCCATCAGCTCTGGGGTGTCTGATCTGGGTGCTTGGCTCTGGATACCCAAGAGGAAGCCTCTCTAACCACTGACAATGCCCCAAAGGGGCTGAGAGTGCCACGGTGCCCCAGGCCACGTGGGCCCCAGACCTGGGGGGGGCCTTCCTCTAAGGACAACACCATGCCTCTACCAAAGAGGGAGGAACAGTAACAATGGCTTACACTTGTGACGCATTTATGGTGTGTCAGGACCTGCTTTAAGCTCTTTAGACACATGGACTCACTTAACCCCCCCGGTTCCAAGGCCAGGTGGTAAGGCCCATAATTATTCCCACTGTGAGGGAATAATGAGGAAATTGAGGGCCAAAGAAGTCACTTGTCCAAGCTCACATACTAGCAAATGGGGGAACCGGGACTCAAAACCTGGGATCTGGGTTCAAAGTCGGCAGCCCCTGGCCTCAGCCAGGGGGTAGGCCCAGGGGTGGAGCACTGACTGTGGGGTGACAGGGGTGAGGAAAGTTGGCTGGGCTTGGGGACTGTCCATCGGTGTCAGAGAGGGGGGCTTGGGGTGACTTATCAAGGCCCCTGGCAGCCTTGAGCCTGAGCTGGGGGCGGAAGGAGGGGCCCAGGGTTGGAAGGTAGGATGATGGTACAGGTTGGCCATCCCGGCCTCCCCTCCCTGCACGGTAGGGGTCTCTGTGCCTCTGTATGCATGTGTGTGGGGCTGGGAGGGTACACACGGGACCTCACCAGGCTCTTCCTCTGCTCCAAAGGTGATCAAGGGACCCATTTTCCAGAACAAACTCCAAGCCTGCTCCACATCCAGCTCCACTCTGCCCCTTGGCCCAGGTGTCCTGGGTGTGCTAAGCCTGGTCCTGGACTGAGGGAAGGTGCAGAGGAAGGAGGCGGGGTCTTGGCCAGAGGTTCTTGGCCTAGGGAGGTTGTGGGGAGAGACAGTGCCCAGACTGATGAAAAGGCAGAAGACATTCAAAGGTGCATGGGAGGGCTGGAGTCAGGAGGGATTCAGGACAAGGCAGGAGAAGTAAGTCAGGTCAGGGTCCGCATGCCCATCCTACCCTTAGCAGAGCAGACTTGTGTGAGCACTTTTACCTGCCTGGGCGTGGGTTTCCTCCTTGGCCAGACGGGACAGGAGTATTATCTGCCTGCTGGACTATGAAGATCCCATGAGCTAATGTGTACGGTGTGTGGGGGCACAGCACCAGGCATATACGAAGTGTTCAAGGGTCTAAATTCAAGGGGAAGTGAGGAGGGACAGCGGGGGTGATGCAGGTGGTGGGCCACCCCACCCTCACCGAGGAGGGGGCCACCAGGATGCCACCGGCTCTGCGCCTGCCTGAGTCCCCTCGGGAGCTGAGCCTCCAGGTCGGGTCCCTGTCCTCCGCCCTGGCCGCCCCATCAGGGTGCCCCATGAGAGGCAGCTCTGTGTTGGGGAGCACCTGTTGCTCATGCTGGACAGCGAGGGCAAAACAAGTCTCGGCTGTGCTCCAGGGCTGGACGGTGGTCGCAGCCAGCGTGGCAGCCTCATGGCGCCCTCCACTCCCAGTTGGAGCGCAGGTGGTAAAGACGAGGGAGTGGGCGCCTTCACACCCAGCCCCTCCTCCTGGTACGTAATAACGATAGCTCATCTTCGCTGAGCCCTTTCACACAAACTCATTACCCTCAGATGGGGACATCGAGGCCCAAAGTCGCATAGCTAAGGAAGAACGGTGGGGCCAGGACTGGAGCCCTGGTGGTCTGGCTCCTGGGCCCCCTGTCCACCATTGTGAACCTGCTCTCACGCATGCCCTCTGCTGGGGTGGGGTGTGGCGGTGGGAGGGTGTCCCCCAGCCAAGTGAGGCCCCAGCACCCACTGTGCGCACTGGCCCTACCTAATCCGACTCTGTGATGAGATGCTGACCGAGGAGGTAAACTGAGTCCTAACAAAGCCCCAGGCACTGAGGAGGACGGGCTGTCCTAGTGCTGTCCCAGGGTGCACAGATAGTGACTGAACTCACTTCCTGGGCCAGCAGGGGAGCTGGGGCCAGTGACAGCCCCGAAAAGGCATGAGTGGCAGTCACCCCGAGGGACAGAGGGGGCTGACGGAGAGGCAGCAGGAAGCCAGCCCTGGATCCCAGCCCAGCTCTGTGGGGTTGGGAGATCCACAGTGGGTCCCTCTGGGTGTGCCCCCTTCGAGCACCAGGATTTAAGAGGTACACTCCTGGGGGTGGCCACTGTGTGGGACTCCCACCAGACTCCTCTCAGCACTTAGGTGTGTGCTGAAGTCAAGCCCCACTCCTTCACTACCTGGACGTGTGCAGTAGGTACACACCTGTGCTCACTGCATGTAGACTGGTCTAAGATGTCCAGGGTCCCAGCGGGGCCCTCTCCGGGGATTCTCATGGAGCAGGGAGGACAGAGGGGAGGTAAGGCAACCATCTCCCCCGGAGGCCTGGCCCCAGGAGTTTCACCTGCAAGTCTCATCCAACCAGGTAATTTCAGGTAAGCCAGTTAGGGGAGACAGCTCCAGACAGGCTGGGTAGGGGCTTTGTGCAGGGAAAGAATGAGGCCACTGACTTGGTCCCCTCACAGCTTGCCAGAGGCTGGGTGGTCATGGTGAGCTGAGTGCTGGGTATCTGGGCCTGCAACTGTTACTTGGGGTGCCCACCTCTCCCCAGCCACCTCCCCAGGGCTTCAGCCCCAATGCCCTATCAGCCTCCTCCAGGATCCAGTTCCCGTCTCAGGCCCTAAAGCCAGCAGCATAAGCCCTGATCAAGTTTCAGACCCAAATGAAGATAACGCTGCCTACGAGTCCCCTGGCACGGGTCCCAGTGGGAGGCAACAGGAGCCCGACCAGCCGATCCCGCCCTCACCCCTCGGGCACCAGCCCTCCTGCTGACATGGGCAGGGCCGGCAGCCAGAGGGGCACCCTCTGGGGGCCTTCGGTGCAGGGGAGGGTGAGCAGCACGCACTGACGCTCATCACCCACTGATCACCTTCAAACAACCTCCGGGCACTGCCAAGTTCATGGCCCCCTGGACATTTGGTTCCTTTGATATCTGGGCTCCTGAATCAGTACATTGTCAGCCAGCTGCCATGACCCCTCTTAAAGAGGTCTTTGTCTGGGTCCCCATCTGCCTGAGTCCCCAGCCCACGCCCCACCTCCCGAGCATCACCCCCATCCCTGTCCACTCTGGCATATAAGGAAGGCCTTGTGCCCCTCAGCCAGGTGAACTGGGGCTGAACCAGGAAGGGGTGGGGAGGGGGGCTCTGGGTTGCTGCCCTAGAGAGTGGCACAGGGCATGCAGGGCAGGGGAAGCTTCTATGTCCCAGGCAGTAGGCGAGGCCCAGGGAGAGAGAAAGTGAGATGTGGTTTCCCCAGGTCTGACTCTGCAGGAGGCAGTCAGAGCATAGGGAGGGGCACTGATCCACGGTACCATTCCAGGAAGGCTTCCTGGAGGAGGTGGTGCCAGCACTGATTCTTAGAGGATCAGCAGGAATTGGCAGAGAGATGTGAGGTGAGGGGAGCATTCTAGAGAAAAACGTGAGCAAGGCCATGGGGTGAGAGGCAGGCTGTGGGCAGCGGTTCTCGGCTCAGAATCCCCAGCGGGAGGGCAGTTCCTGTGAGAAGTGCAGGGTGGGGAGGAGAGCTCAGGGACCTCCACACCTGTCCTCGCTCCCCGGATCTCCAGAGCACGGGCCCAAGATGGCCACAGAGGTGAGCGGTCTGGGCCCCCTCTGTAAGCACATGCTGTCCCCGGCCCCTGCACAGCCTCCAACGCACCCCCTAAATGTTATCCTGGCCGGCGCCCAGCCTATGCCCGAGCAATGTTTGCTGAATAAAGCTGCCTTTGGGGGAGGTCTGTGCGTACCAGGTGTGGTGCTAAGTGCTTTGCACACATTTTCCCAGAAACTCTTAGGATCCCTCCGTCGTAATGAGGACTCATATTGGTAGTGTCCCAAAGTTGAGCAGCCAAGCACAGAGCTGGCTCGCCTGGGAGCTGTCTGGTCCCAGAACCCAAGCTCCCGACCACCAGGCCGCCCACCCCTGCCTCCCAAGTGAATGAGCGGACCAAAAGCAGCCTGGCCGGGCCAATGCCCACCTGGTATGGGCTGGACTGTGTCCTCCCCAAATTCAAATGTTGAAGTCCTAACCCCCCCAGAACCTCAGAACGTGACTTTGTTTGGGAGCAGGGTCATTGCAGAGGTACCTACTTAAGATGAGGTCACATCGGAGTAGGGTGGCCCTAAATCCGGTATGACCGGTATCCTTCTGGAAAGGCGAAGTTTGGACAGAGACACACATCGAAGGAAGAGGACCTCAAGAGCCACAGAGACCAGAGCGCCGTCTGCAAGCCGAGGAGAGAGGCCCGGATGGACCCTTCCCTCGGGACCCTCAGAAGGAGCCAACCCTCCAGATTTCTGGCCTCCAGGATGGTGGAAGAATCGATGTCTGTGGTACTTCATTACTTCAGGCTTGCAAACCCTACACCACCCGCAGCAGGCTCACCTGCTGCGGGGAGGAGAGGAGGGTGGGGCTTGTAAAGGTGGGTAGCCTCAGGCCCTCCCTCAGCCCCCCCCTCAGCCCCCCGAGGTGGTGGGCTCAGCATGGGGGCCCTCTCTTTCACAATCGCCAGGTCATAAATGTTCCCGCCCATGGCACCCTGGCCACCTGCCCCTAGGAGGCTTCAGTGGGGACGTGGATTGCACCGTATACACAGGGGCCTCCCCACTCTGGCGAGAGGGCGGGAGGCAGGGCCAGGAGCAGGGAAGGTGGGCTCTGCCCCCGCAGGGCCAGGCCTCCCGACTCAGCAGAGGCCCCCACTGCCTCCCTCTCAGACCTGCTCTTCATTCAGTGCAGATTTTGACCTTTCCATAGTTCCAGACTTTGAGCCCGGACACCTGAGATCCGTAGGGAAGTAGGGGGCCTCAGGCTAGGGGGACAGTGTCTGTAAACTCTGTGCCCGTGAAGAACCGCGCTCCTCCCCAGCAT